TGCGATGGGGAAACAAGGCCGATGACGGTCCATCTATAAAAACCTCTTGTGTTCTTTGCCTTCCGTCGCTGCTTCCCCCCCTCCCCCTTCCCGCTCCCCTATTGCCACCGTCTCCAATCATCCTTCATTAGAAGAACATTTAAACAACCAGAGGTACAACTGGTGCAACTTTCAAACTCCTCACTACTGTCCGTCGCCTTCAACTCCTAACTCCCAACTGCCATAGGTTGAGCTGGTGGCCAACCCCTCCATCGTCTTCATGGATGAGCCCACGACAGGTATGGGGATGTGGAGGATTGGCTGTGTGACAGTTCCGTGTAGAGAGATGCCTTCCTTTCTCTTTTTTTGTAATCTCTTTCTCCCTCATCCCGGATTGACATTTTAAGTATTGCATGCAACGCACCCAGTGTTCGCATCTTCGTCGTCTGGAGGAACTTAGGGCAGTTATGGAGAAACGGCAAAAGGGGTATTTTTCTAGTTTAACTAACCAAACACAAGGCGGCTTTTGTATACCCGCAGAATGAAGGAATCAGACAAACAAGTGTCCAGTCTCTCCGCCCGGAATCAGGTGATCGATTCCGGCCCGGATCGGGGTCTGTATTCTGCACTTTGGCACTTAGGCTGCAGCGGCATCTGCGCTCCCCTGGGACCACCCGGCAACCACTCGTAGTGGTATTACAACACACAAAGCGTAACATATAGTTAACAGTATTATTAACAACCTTTAACATATTTATCATAGTTCTCCTTCAAGACAGCTGCAAAGACGCTCTCGTATCGGACTTGCCAAGTTGCGATTACATGGGCCCTGAAGGTCCTAATTAACTATTTACCCTCGGGCCTAGGTTTCCCCCTAGCGAACCTGCAACCTTACAGAATTTCACGCATTTTCCCGTATATAATCATGTATGCGCCTCAAGGCTAGACCTAGGACTCTGGGGTGCATGTTTGATGTATATGGTGACACCCGACTGGCTTATATAAGCTGTAAGGACTATGCTGTCGACCGCGGGCAGTTAAAGCCGCGCACCGACTCGACCTGAACAGGCAGTTATTGTTATAGGTGGATACTTGAGCTTGCAGTTGATTCTCCCTGGGGCTTTTGACGGCGACACGGGCAATTTTAAGGGTACTCGGCCGGTTCGGCCGGTTCGTGCGGCCGGACAAACGGATTTCGGCTCCTGAGGAGCTGTTCGTCCGCCGGCCAACGAACGAAACGGCCCGAAAGAGGTTCCTTTCGTCCGCAGGAACGAAAGCCCAAACATAAGATGCGAACACTGAATACAATTCCACCCCATTCCACACATTTAAAAACGTATACTCCCGTACAATATCCCCGTACATGACCGTATAGGGCTGGATGCCCGTGCCGCCGGTCTGGTGATGCGGGCGGTTCGTAATACGGTGGCCACGGGCCGTACGGTTGTGTGTACAATCCATCAGCCCAACCGGGAGATCATGGACTGCTTCGACGAGTGAGTGATGCTGTTCTTTTTTCTCTCCTTGTGTATGCATGTATGTATGTATGTGTTTTGGGGTGTGTACATCTTTGAATACGGATATGGTTTTGTTTGCCGTGCGTGTTTGCCTTACGTTCTGTGTGCGTTAAGAGGTTGCACAGACAGATGCGGGTAGCCGCACATCCTTTCCCCTGGCAGCCCTTCCCCCTTCGTCACATCTTCCTTTCAAACAGACCCCTCCCTCCCTCCCCTCCCCCCAGGCTGCTGCTCCTCAAACCCGGTGGCCGATCCATCTTCTTCGGACCCCTGGGTCGGCGACAGTCCGACCTGGTGACTTACCTGAGCAGCATACCGGGAGTTAGCGGGTGAGTGGCTCCCCTCCCCACTCTCCCCCCTCCCCTCCTCCCTTTCTTCCCTCTCCCCACGGGCCCACCAGGCGCCCGTTTATGCAGCCTTGTACGGCTTTGTACGGCCTTGTTCGGGCTTCCAGATCCAAGTTCGCGACCTGTGCACGCTGCTTTTGTTTCGCCGATGGTTATCCTCTTGTGTTCTTTTTGCACTTCCTTCGGACCTCCGTGTGCACGTATACACATGCTACTAATGAATTGTAACTGTCGTACGGTACGGCAGGTACGAGCCGCACATGAACCCGGCGGAATGGATGTTGGAGGTTACTTCTCCCGCGGCGGAGGCTGCACTGGGTCTGGATTTCTCAGCCGTGTGGGAATCGAGCGAGCAGGCAAGGTATGTATGTATGTATGTATGTGTTGTAGCGCCTTATAGCGTTACAGAGCCAAGTCGCAAAGCGATGAAGGCGTGATTTGATTAAGACTGATCTATGAACAGTCTATGAATACTTTGAGATTAATAAGTGTTTCCTAATTAAGGATTGACACTCTTTCAGGGTTCCTACCCTAATCGAACAGACACCTCGGTCTAACCAGCCGTCAGGTGGTCCGAAGGGACACTCTACGACAGAAGTCGTTGCGGCCTCCTAAGCAACGAGTATTATATATACTCGGGAGGGAGCCTGGGTTGGATGATTAATATTTATATATTTATTAACAAAGAGACAGAGTTTTATTACTCTATCTTTAGACAAGAGCCCAGACCTTGGCGGAGCGAATCCGTCCTGTGACTTTCGGTTCTTGCCTACATTACGCGCCAACATTTTGGAATCACAGCATTCGCTCCAGGCTGTTGATTATTCGCAGTAGGACCTATAGTTAGAAATCCTGATTTACAAAAGAAGGATTTAGAAGTAATTCAGTGGCAGCTCTACGTTGCGAGCTTAGGCTCCGACTTTCCGTTCGACCTTCACGGTCGTATGGCATTTAACTCTAACCAGTTACAGCAACTGCGTGATCAACTAACTTTGGCAGTCGCTGCCCTCACCTTGAACAGTAAATTTGAGGCCCTTTGAATTCCTTAACGCAAATGAGTGGTTACTTTCCACTTTTAGACCCCTCAGAGAACCCGGCCCCTGACGGAGGCACCCCGCCTCCGGCCGTAGCCACCAATGAGACCGCTAATGCGGGAGCTGGTGGGTCGCGACCCGCCGCGACGAACCCGCAAGACATAACTCAGAACCAGAACCCAGGACAGATTCAGACTCCTGAGACCGCGGTGCTGCATGAGCAAATTGCTGCTCTCGCCGCCGAAATCCGCGAGTTGAAACAGACCCAACGAAGCGCCGTTTCTCTGAGAAATCCCGAGGTAATTGGGAACCCTCTGAATCCTCCTCCGAACGTTGGCTCCCGGTTGAAAGCCCTGAAAATTTCTGAACCGCAGTGGAAAACCGGCCAGAGTCCCGAAAATTTCATCCGCTATTTTCGGCTTTACTGTGTGTGGTTGTTACAGTGGGCTCCAGACTCCCGAAGAGTAGAGCCATCGGGCCAGCTGGCCGTGCACTGCAGTAGAGACTAATATACCAAAAGATTATCACCTCAGATAATTAACCTCTCATCGGTAACCGCTCTCGCGAGCACAGCAATTTGCCAGATATAATTCTCAAGAAGGGGTGATGTACGCCAACGGAATCCCAACCTTTCCGTGGAATTCCCAAAGCTGCGAAACCCTGAATGCGGCCCCAAAAGTCAACAATAACTCGACAAATTGCTTCTTCCGTAAGGGAAGGGCCAGGTAACAGTGCCGGGTTGGTTTTCATGTTTGCAGCCATATAACGTCTCCCATGCTCCATGGCTGACACCGCAGCAAGAGCCACAACATCCCAAACACATTGTTGCACTGATTGTGGGGCTTGGATAAGCCAAAGTTGCTCCCTTGAGACTGGCATTCCTATTGAAAGAGTAAGTTGATCTGCTACTGCCTGTGCCACCGGACAAGCCCAGAAATGATGATAGCGAGGGGATACACCTCCCACTGAACCTATTGGATAACCTCCACAACCACATATCGTTGGGCGCGACATCCTAAGATGGGAATTTCCTAACATAGGCACCCCATCAACCGCGAGACGCCACCAAACCTCTTTTTGTTCATTTTCCCACCGTAAATGAAACCATAAACGATGGAATGTCCGTTGCAAAAGAAGAATAGCTTCATCCAATATCTCAGAAGAACCCGTCGCCTCTTTGATGAAAAGGGTATGGGCCACACGGCGAGCCATCGAAAAAGGTGAAAGTTGCATATTAGTCGCTATTTTCACGGATAAGTGTTGGAATCGGATTGGAGGCCCTACACCCCATCTCCAACCAAGCCTCGACACTAGGGTTTGGGTAACCGACTCAATAGGGGGCACCATTGCTTCCCTAGATTCTACACTCAGCGGCAACAAAAGACTAGCCGCCTGTCTCCAATTCGCTGGAATATCATCTAGAAGAGCGCCAATAGCATCCATACATTCCTGCCATTTACGATAGGTGCACAGGGATTTAGCTAGTGGGGTTTGCGGTTGGAGGTATTGATCCACTATTTGATGCCAAGCCTTGCGTATTGCTAGGCCTGCTTGGTCCGTTGCATTCATAACTCCATCCAAGGCCTCGCGCGCGCAAAGAACATCCCCCAACGTATGCAATGCTTTACAGCCCAGGAGGGCTTGATGTCGAAATTCTAGTCCCGGGCGGATGTTATCTAACTGGACATTCACCCTTTTTTCTGGCTTTACTATGAGAACTGCCGAGAGGCGCTCCCTCCGTTCGTGGCCATGTTGGCCGCCCTCCAGAACCACCCGGAGGCACCAGATTGGATTAACCAAT